TTTTCTGGATTTTTACAACGCTTAAGAGTTATTTGCTTGTATAACTTTCCATCTTGTTTTAACCAAACGTAAAATTTTATGAAGTACAATTTCAATAACTTTATCGTATAATATACATTATATATTTATATAGTAAGAGGTTATGTGAACATTTAGTACTAGTGTAATGAACATGTAATACAAGTGTAGTGAACATATAGTACTTGTGTAATGAACATGTAATACTAGTGTAGTGAACATATAGCACTTGTGTAATGAACATGTAATACTAGTGTAGTGAACATATAGTACTTGTGTAATGAACATGTAATACTAGTGTATTGAACATATACTACTTGTATAATGAGCATATAGTGCTAGTGTTGTAGTGAAATATATAGTACTTTGTGCAATGAACATGTAGCAATTAGTGTTATAGTGAACATATAGTACTTGTGTAATGAACATGTAATACTAGTGTAGTGAACAAATAGTGCTTGTGCAATGAACATGTAGTACTAGTGTTGTAGTGAACATAGAGTACTTGTGTAATGAACATGTAGTACTAGTGTTATAGTGAACATATAGTACCTGTGTAATGAACATGTAATACTAGTGTAGTGAACATATAGTACTAGTCTAATGAACATATAGTGCTAGTTTTATAGTGAAGATATAGTACTTGTGTAATGAACATGTAGACCAGTGTTATAGTGAAGATATAGTACTTGTGTAATGAACATGTAATACTGGTGTAGTGAACATATAATACTAGTGTAATGAATATACAGTCCTAGTGTTGTAGTGAACATATAGTACTAATGTAATGCACATGTAAAACTAGTGTAGTGAACAAATAGTACTAGTGTAATGAACATGTAGTACTAGTGTTGTAGTGAACATGTATTACTAGTGTTGTAGTGAACATGTAGTACTAGTGTAATGAGCATGTAATACTAGTGTTGTAGTGAACATGTATTGCTAGTGTTGTAGTGAACATGTAGTACTAGTGTAATGAACATGTAGTACTAGTATTGTAGTGAACATATCGTGCTAGTGTTCTATTGAACATGTAGTACTAGCGTAATGAGCATGTAATACAAGTGTAGTTGTGAACATGTAGGACTAGTGGTGAAGTGAACATGTAGTACTAGTGTTGTAGTGAACATTTAGTACTAGTGTAATGAACATGTAATACTCGTGTAGTGAACACGTAGTACTAGTGTTATAGTGAGCATGTAGTACTAGTTCTGTAGTGTACATGTAATACCAGTGTTGTAGTCAACATATAGTACTAATGTTGTAGTGAACATGTAGTATTATTGTTTTAGTGAACATATAGAACTAGTGTTGTAGTGAACATGTAGTACTAGTGTTGTAGTGAACATATAGTACTAGTGTTGTAGTGAACATGTAGTACTAGTGTTGTAGTGAACATGTAGTACTAGTGATATAATGAACATGTAATACCTGTGTTGTAGTGAAGATGTAGTACTAGTGTTGTAGTGAACATGTAGTACTAGTGTAATGAACATGTAAATACTAGTGTTGTATCGAACATGTAGTCCTAGTGTTGTAGTGAACATGTAGTACTAGTTCTGTAGTGTACATGTAATACCAGTGTTGTAGTCAACATATAGTACTAATGTTGTAGTGAACATGTAGTATTATTGTTTTAGTGAACATATAGAACTAGTGTTGTAGTGAACATGTAGTACTAGTGTTGTAGTGAACATATAGTACTAGTGTTGTAGTGAACATGTAGTACTAGTGTTGTAGTGAACATGTAGTACTAGTGATGTAATGAACATGTAATACCTGTGTTGTAGTGAAGATGTAGTACTCGTGTTGTAGTGAACATGTAATACCTTCCAAATGTTGTAATGAACATGGTACTAGTGTTTTGTGAGCATAAAAGGCCAAGTGTTGTATTGAAATTATGTAATACTAGTGTTGTAGTGTGAATATGTAGTACTAGTGTTAGAAAGTGGAATATGTAGTACTAGTGTAATGACCATGTAATACTAGTGTTGTAGTGGAATATGTATTAAGAAAAGAAGTGAATATTATGTAGTACTAGTAATGAACATGTAGTACTAGCATTGTAGTGAACTATCATGTTAGTGTTCTCAGCTGAACATGTAGTAGTACTAAAGGCATGAGCCTGTAATACAAGTGTAGTTGTGAACATGTAGTACTAGTGGTGTAGTGAACATGTAGTACTAGTGTTGTAGTGAACATGTAGTACTAGTGTAATGAACATGTAATACTCGTGTAGTGAACATGTAGTACTAGTGTTTTAGTGAGCATGTAGTACTAGTGTTGTATTGAACATGTAAATACTAGAGTTGTATTGAACATGTAGTCCTAGTGTTGTAGTGAACATGTAGTACTAGTTCTGTAGTGTGCATGTAATACCAGTATTGTAGTCAACATGTAGTACTAATGTTGTAGTGAACATGTAGTATTATTGTTTTAGTGAACATATAGAACTAGTGTTGTAGTGAACATGTAGTACTAGTGTTGTAGTGAACATGTAGTACTAGTGGTGTAGTGAACATGTAGTACTAGTGTTGTAGTGAACATGTAGTACTAGTGATGTAATAAACATGTAATACCTGTGTTGTAGTGAAGATGTAGTACTCGTGTTGTAGTGAACATGTAATACCAATGTTGTAATGAACATGTAGTACTAGTGTTTTAGTGAGCATGTAGTACAAGTGTTTAATGAGAATACGAAAATTGGCAAGCAGTGAACATGTAGGACCAGTATGCAGTGAATATGTAGTACTAGTGTTGTAATGAATATGTAGTACTAGTGTTGTAGTGAGTATGTAGTACTAGTGTTGTAATGAATATGTAATACTAGTGTTGTAGTGAATATGTAGTACTAGTGTTGTAGTGAATATGTAGTGCTAGTGTTGTAATGAATATGTAGTACCAGTGTTGTAGTGAACATGCAGTACTAGTGTTGTAGTGAACATGTAGTACTAGTGTTGTAATGAATATGTAGTACTAGTGCTGTAGTGAATATGTAGTACTAGTGTTGTAGTGAATATGTAGTACTAGTGTTGTAGTGAATGCTAGTACTAGGTGTTATGTGTGAAATATGTAGCACTAGGTGTTGTAGAGAACATGTAGTGACTAGTGTAATGAACATGTAATACTGTGTAGTGAAATATGTAGTACTAGTGTTTTAGTGAGCATGTAGTACAAGTGTTGTATTGAACATGTAATACTAGTGTTGTAGTGAACATGTAATACCAGTGTTGTAGTGAACATGTAGAACTAGTGTTGTAGTGAACATGTAATACCAGTGCTGTAGTGAACACGTAGTACTAGTGTTGTAGTGAATACGTAGTACCAGTGTTGTAGTGAACATGTAGGACTAGTGTTGTAGTGAATACGTAGTGCCAGTGTTGTAGTTAACAGGTAGTACTAGTGTTGTAATGAGCATGTAGTACTAGTGTTCTACTGAACATGTAGTACTAGTGTTGTAGTGAGCATGCAGTACTAGTGTTCTAGTGAACATGTGGTACTAGTGTTGTAGTGAACATGTAGTGCTAGTGTTGTAGTGAACATGTAGTACTAGTGTTGTAGTGAACATGTAATACCAGTGTTGTAGTGAACATGTAGTACTAATGTTGTGGTGAACATATAATACCAGTGTTGTAGTGAACATGTAGTACTAGTGTTGTAGTGAACATGTAGTACTAGTGTTGTAGTAAGCATGTAGGACCGGTGTTGCAGTGAACATGAAGTACTAGTGTTGTAGTGAACATGTAGTACTAGTGTTGTGGTGAACATATAATACCAGTGTTGTAGTGAACATTTAGTACTTGTGTTGTAGTGAACATGTAGTACTAGTGTTGTAGTAAGCACGTAGGACCGGTGTTGCAGTGAACATGAAGTACTAAAAATAGAAAGTGAACAAGTGTAGTACTTAGTAGCTGTATTGGAACATGTAGTACTAGTGGTTGTAGTGAAATATGTAGCAATTAGTGTTGTAGTGAACATGTATTACTTAGTGTTGTAGTGAACAGGGAATACTAGTGTTAGAAGTTAACATGTAGTACTAGTGTTGTAGTGAACATGGTCATAAAAGTTAACATTTCTTGTATAACATATCGTTAAGGTTCAGTTAAAGATAATGTTGTGTTCCCTGCAGGACCCAGAGAACATGTGGGCCTACGAGGTAGACGCCAGGTCGACAGGGGACAAAAAGTCTGCCCGGGAGGAGCGTCGAGGAGACGTAGTGGTGGGCCAGTACAGCGCCATGGACCCTGATGGTTCTCTCTGCGTCGTCGACTACTCTGTAGCTCCCGACACTGACTTCCAGGCCACTGTTACCAAGCAATCCACCCATGAAAACTTCCAGAGCCAAAGCCAAAAGCACCAGCAAAGGCGCAACCAGTCCCAGAATCAACAGACCCGACGCGACCAGTTCCAGAACCAACAGAACAGCCGCAACCAGTTTCAGAACCAACAGAACCGCCGCAACCAGTTGCTGAACCAACAGAGCCGCCCCGACCAGTTCCAGAAACAACAGAACCGCCCCGACCAGTTCCAGAACCAACAGAGCCACCAGGCCAGTTCCAGAACCAACTGTCTACCCGCGACCCGTTCCAGAACCAACTGTCTACTCGCGACCAGTTCCAGAGAACCAACAAAGCCGCTCGACCAGTTCCAGAGCCAACAGAGCGCCCCGACCAGTTCCAGAACCAACTGGTCTACTAGCGACCAGTTCCAGAACCAACAGAAGCTGCCGCGACCAGTTCCAGAACCAACAAAGCCGCCCCGACCAGTTCCAGAGCCAACAGAACCGCCCCGACCAGTTCCAGAACCAACTGTCTACCCGCGACCAGTTCCAAAACTAACAAAGCCGCGGCGACCAGTTCCAGAACCAACAGAACCTCCCCCACCAGTTCCAAAACCAACTGTCTACCCGCAACCAGTTCCAGAATCAAGTGAACCGAGATCAATCTTCTCTGAATATTAAACAGTAATCACAGAGAGACAACCAGTATCAACAGAAACGCAACCAGTATCAACAAGACCACAACCAGTATCAACACAACCGTAACCAGTACCAGCTGAATCATTACCAACAGAACCGCAACTAGTACCAGGAGAACCGCAACCAGTACCAGTCCAACTATCGCACGAGTACCAACCAATACAACCACAACAACCAGTCCAACAACCTCCACAACAACAGGTACATCTCACAAAGTTACGGCTCCACCAACAACAACCACAACTACAACCAAAACTCACACCTCAACTCCAACCTTTTCAACCTGGAATACAACCAACAACTCTCCCGGTTATCCACCAACAACCACAACCAGTACGGAAGGAGCCAAGTTAGTGTGGTTCCTGCTGGAAATCACAAGTATCGACTACAACAAATGAACCACTGGCAACACTAAATGGTTGTGAGAATGTCTTTACTCTGTATAAACTGTCAATATAATACTATGGTACTGTATTTTTATGTATTTCTCGCTAAACAAAGCAGAATGTATTAATGTTTTTTATCTGATTGACGCTATTGTATGTTTCTGTTGTGTTAATGAATGATGTTAAAGTGTTGGTGAGAGTAAACACTAATATGCAGAATAGGTCAAGTGTTGGTGAAAGTAAACACTAATATACAGAGTACGTCAAGTGTTGCTGAGAGTAAACACTAATATACAGTATACGTCAAGTGTTGGTGAAAATAAACACTAATATACAGTATACGTCAAATGTTGGTGACAGTAAACACTAATATACAGTATACGTCAAATGTTGGTGAGAGTAAACACTAATATACAGTATACGTCAAGTGTTGGTGAGAGTAAACACTAATATACAGTATACGTCAAGTGTTGGTGAGAGTAAACACTAATATACAGTATAGGTCAAGGCATGGTGATATTGGGGACTAGATGGGGTGTATACTTGACTGTTTTTGTAATAGATATGATACCGGTACACATACAGGTTCACATACCGGTACACATACAGGTACACATACAGGTACACATACCGGTACACATATAGGTACACATACAGGTACACATACAGGTACACATACCGGTACACATACAGGTGCACATACATGTACACATATAGGTACACATACCGGTACACATAGAGAGACTTAGGTAACGTAGTACCGAGGTAGATTTATGTGTGTGTGTGTGTGTGTGTGTGTATGTGTGTGTGATATTAGCTGGTCTTTGCTATCACAACAGTTACGGCTGGAGATGACGGAATTGAAAACATATCTTATCCCGATTCATGATAGCATGTAGATGTGTGTGTGTGTGTGTGTGTGTGTGTGTATCTTTCAACTGTACCTGTATCTATCTCTTAACTGTGTCTGTCTCTCAACTATACCTGTATCTGTCTCTTAACTCTATCTGTATCTGTCTCTTAACTGTACCTGCATCTGTCTCTTAACTGTACGTGTATCTGTCTCTTAACTGTACCTGTATCTGTCTCTTAACTCTACCTGTATCTGTCTCTCAATTCTACCTGTATCTGTCTCTAAACTGAACCTGTATCTGTCTCTCAACGGTACCTGTATCTGTCTATTAACTCTACCTGCATCAGTCTCTTAACTGTACCTGTATCTGTCTCTTAACTGTACCTGTATCTGTCTCTTAACTGTACCTGTATCTGTCTCTTAACTGTACCTGTATCTGTCTCTTAACTGTACCTGTATCTGTCTCTTAACTGTACCTGTATCTGTCTCTTAACTGTACCTGTATCTGTCTCTCAACTGTACCTGTATCTGTCTCTTAACTGTACCTGTATCTGTCTCTTAACTGTACCTGTATCTGTCTCTTAACTGTACCTGTATCTGTCTCTTAACTGTACCTGTATCTGTCTCTTAACTGTACTTGTATCTGTCTCTCAACTGTACCTGTATCTGTCTCTTAACTGTACCTGTATCTGTCTCTTAACTGTACCTGTATCTGTCTCTTAACTGTACCTGTATCTGTCTCTTAACTGTACCTGTATCTGTCTCTTAACTGTACCTGTATCTGTCTCTTAACTGTACCTGTATGTGCCTCTTAACTGTACCTGTATCTGTCTCTTAACTGTACCTGTATCTGTCTCTCAACTGTACCTGTATCTGTCTCTTAACTGTACCTGTATCTGTCTCTTAACTGTACCTGTATCTGTCTCTTAACTGTACCTGTATCTATCTCTTAACTGTACCTGTATCACTACCCTTATGTATTACTTGTACCAATACCTATAGTTACTATATATGCTGATCTACCTATATAACCTAATTCATTTGTCCATCTATTTATATATCTATCTACTTTATTAGGCTTTATATAAGGATTAACACAAACAAACAAAAAACGACATTTTATCACATTATTTAAAAAAAAAACATACAAAATCTTCTTTTTTTTCAATAATATTCATCGGGGGAGAAGATGAGATCAGACCCCTTGAGATAAGCCGTCCCTAACCGTAGTCCTGACACTACGATGAATTTTATTACATTAGACAAAATGCTGGTCGATTGTGCCGTCCCTTCCGATCCCTCGCAAGGAGGACTCTGCGTGACAGCAGATTTCACCTTTGGGGCGACACAGCTCCTCCCTTGCGAGGGGATGTAAGGAGGACTCTGCATGACAGCAGATGTCACCTTAGGGGCGACACAGCTCTTCCCTTGGGAGGGGATGTAAGGAGGACTCTGCATGAAAGCAGATGTCACCTTAGGGGCGATACAGCTTTTCCCTTGCGAGGGGATGTAAGGAGGACTCTGCATGACAGCAGATGTCACCTTAGGGGCGACACAGCTCTTCCCTTGGGAGGGGATGTAAGGAGGACTCTGCATGACAGCAGATGTCACCTTAGGGGCGACACAGCTTTTCCCTTGCGAGGAGATGTAAGGAGGACTCTGCATGACAGAAGATGTCACCTTAGGGGCGACACAGCTCTTCCCTTGCGAGGGGATGTAAGGAGGACTCTGCATGACAGCAGATGTCACCTTAGGGGCGACACAGCTTTTCCCTTGCGAGGGGATGTAAGGAGGACTCTGCATGACAGTCTTCCTTTCAGTGACAGTTGGGAAAGAAAGCTGCTGGAGGGAAGACTCTAAACGTCTAATAACTTCACAGAGATCAGGCCGATCTACTGGGTTCTGCTGTAGCATATCTAAGAATAATTGTCTGGTGCCGGGCGGCCACGCCTTTAGGTGTCGGTCACTCAATAATGTCTCAGTAACAAAATTAAGGGTGAACCCCAAAGAGAAAACATCAGCCTTGGGGTGACATGGGTGACCAGCAAGGATCTCTGGGGCATAAAAGGGAAAATCACTTGGTGATCCAGAGATATTTGTCAACTCTCCCACGGCTGTAGAAAGCCCAAAATCGATGATGTGGGCCGTGAAGATACCATCGGCTGTGTTCTCTTCTATTAACACATTATCTTCCTTAAAATCGTTATGGACAACGCCCTGACCGTGAATTTCGTCAAGGCTTCGCGCCACGGCGATGTAGATTTGAATAATGTTGGCCGCGGTAAGCAACTTAGGGTGATTGAGTATATCAATGAACGTCCTTCCCTTGCAAAACGACATAACAAGTATGGGCTCATCCGTGGCCCACGTTATGATGAGGGGAGCACCGCCGGCACCGTTTACTTTTTGGGTTATCTCCCTTTCTATGTTGAAATACTTCAGATATTCCGTTTTCAAGCCTTTTTTTATGCACACGAGTTCCCCATTGAATTCGGCCAGGAGGCTGAACGCAAATGCCCCGCTACCCAATTTTTTCTGGATTTTTACAACGCTTAAGAGTTATTTGCTTGTATAACTTTCCATCTTGTTTTAACCAAACGTAAAATTTTATGAAGTACAATTTCAATAACTTTATCGTATAATATACATTATATATTTATATAGTAAGAGGTTATGTGAACATTTAGTACTAGTGTAATGAACATGTAATACAAGTGTAGTGAACATATAGTACTTGTGTAATGAACATGTAATACTAGTGTAGTGAACATATAGTACTTGTGTAATGAACATGTAATACTAGTGTAGTGAACATATATAGTACTTGTGTAATGAACATGTAATACTAGTGTATTGAACATATACTACTTGTATAATGAGCATATAGTGCTAGTGTTGTAGTGAACATATAGTACTTGTGCAATGAACATGTAGTACTAGTGTTATAGTGAACATATAGTACTTGTGTAATGAACATGTAATACTAGTGTAGTGAACAAATAGTACTTGTGCAATGAACATGTAGTACTAGTGTTGTAGTGAACATAGAGTACTTGTGTAATGAACATGTAGTACTAGTGTTATAGTGAACATATAGTACCTGTGTAATGAACATGTAATACTAGTGTAGTGAACATATAGTACTAGTCTAATGAACATATAGTGCTAGTTTTATAGTGAAGATATAGTACTTGTGTAATGAACATGTAGACCAGTGTTATAGTGAAGATATAGTACTTGTGTAATGAACATGTAATACTGGTGTAGTGAACATATAATACTAGTGTAATGAATATACAGTCCTAGTGTTGTAGTGAATATATAGTACTAATGTAATGCACATGTAAAACTAGTGTAGTGAACATATAGTACTAGTGTAATGAACATGTAGTACTAGTGTTGTAGTGAACATGTAGTACTAGTGTTGTAGTGAACATGTAGTACTAGTGTAATGAGCATGTAATACTAGTGTTGTAGTGAACATGTATTGCTAGTGTTGTAGTGAACATGTAGTACTAGTGTAATGAACATGTAGTACTAGTATTGTAGTGAACATATCGTGCTAGTGTTCTATTGAACATGTAGTACTAGCGTAATGAGCATGTAATACAAGTGTAGTTGTGAACATGTAGGACTAGTGGTGAAGTGAACATGTAGTACTAGTGTTGTAGTGAACATGTAGTACTAGTGTAATGAACATGTAATACTCGTGTAGTGAACACGTAGTACTAGTGTTATAGTGAGCATGTAGTACTAGTTCTGTAGTGTACATGTAATACCAGTGTTGTAGTCAACATATAGTACTAATGTTGTAGTGAACATGTAGTATTATTGTTTTAATGAACATATAGAACTAGTGTTGTAGTGAACATGTAGTACTAGTGTTGTAGTGAACATATAGTACTAGTGTTGTAGTGAACATGTAGTACTAGTGTTGTAGTGAACATGTAGTACTAGTGATGTAATGAACATGTAATACCTGTGTTGTAGTGAAGATGTAGTACTAGTGTTGTAGTGAACATGTAGTACTAGTGTAATGAACATGTAAATACTAGTGTTGTATTGAACATGTAGTCCTAGTGTTGTAGTGAACATGTAGTACTAGTTCTGTAGTGTACATGTAATACCAGTGTTGTAGTCAACATATAGTACTAATGTTGTAGTGAACATGTAGTATTATTGTTTTAGTGAACATATAGAACTAGTGTTGTAGTGAACATGTAGTACTAGTGTTGTAGTGAACATATAGTACTAGTGTTGTAGTGAACATGTAGTACTAGTGTTGTAGTGAACATGTAGTACTAGTGATGTAATGAACATGTAATACCTGTGTTGTAGTGAAGATGTAGTACTCGTGTTGTAGTGAACATGTAATACCAATGTTGTAATGAACATGTAGTACTAGTGTTTTAGTGAGCATGTAGTACAAGTGTTGTATTGAACATGTAATACTAGTGTTGTAGTGAACATGTAGTACTAGTGTTGTAGTGAACATGTAGTACTAGTGTAATGAGCATGTAATACTAGTGTTGTAGTGAATATGTATTGCTAGTGTTGTAGTGAACATGTAGTACTAGTGTAATGAACATGTAGTACTAGTATTGTAGTGAACATATCATGCTAGTGTTCTATTGAACATGTAGTACTAGCGTAATGAGCCTGTAATACAAGTGTAGTTGTGAACATGTAGTACTAGTGGTGTAGTGAACATGTAGTACTAGTGTTGTAGTGAACATGTAGTACTAGTGTAATGAACATGTAATACTCGTGTAGTGAACATGTAGTACTAGTGTTTTAGTGAGCATGTAGTACTAGTGTTGTATTGAACATGTAAATACTAGATTTGTATTGAACATGTAGTCCTAGTGTTGTAGTGAACATGTAGTACTAGTTCTGTAGTGTGCATGTAATACCAGTATTGTAGTCAACATGTAGTACTAATGTTGTAGTGAACATGTAGTATTATTGTTTTAGTGAACATATAGAACTAGTGTTGTAGTGAACATGTAGTACTAGTGTTGTAGTGAACATGTAGTACTAGTGTTGTAGTGAACATGTAGTACTAGTGTTGTAGTGAACATGTAGTACTAGTGATGTAATAAACATGTAATACCTGTGTTGTAGTGAAGATGTAGTACTCGTGTTGTAGTGAACATGTAATACCAATGTTGTAATGAACATGTAGTACTAGTGTTTTAGTGAGCATGTAGTACAAGTGTTGTATTGAACATGTAATACTAGTGTTGTAGTGAACATGTAATACCAGTGTTGTAGTGAACATGTAGAACTAGTGTTGTAGTGAACATGTAATACCAGTGCTGTAGTGAACACGTAGTACTAGTGTTGTAGTGAGCATGTAGTACTAGTGTTGTAGTGAATACGTAGTACCAGTGTTGTAGTGAACATGTAGGACTAGTGTTGTAGTGAATACGTAGTGCCAGTGTTGTAGTTAACAGGTAGTACTAGTGTTGTATTGAGCATGTAGTACTAGTGTTCTACTGAACATGTAGTACTAGTGTTGTAGTGAGCATGCAGTACTAGTGTTCTACTGAACATGTGGTACTAGTGTTGTAGTGAACATGTAGTGCTAGTGTTGTAGTGAACATGTAGTACTAGTGTTGTAGTGAACATGTAATACCAGTGTTGTATTGAACATGTAGTACTAATGTTGTGGTGAACATATAATACCAGTGTTGTAGTGAACATGTAGTGTGTTGTAGTGAACATGTAGTACTAGTGTTGTAGTAAGCATGTAGGACCGGTGTTGCAGTGAACATGAAGTACTAGTGTTGTAGTGAACATGTAGTACTAGTGTTGTGGTGAACATATAATACCAGTGTTGTAGTGAACATTTAGTACTAGTGTTGTAGTGAACATGTAGTACTAGTGTTGTAGTAAGCACGTAGGACCGGTGTTGCAGTGAACATGAAGTACTAGTGTTGTAGTGAACATGTAGTACTAGTGCTGTATTGAACATGTAGTACTAGTGTTGTAGTGAACATGTAGTACTAGTGTTGTAGTGAACATGTATTACTAGTGTTGTAGTGAACATGGAATACCAGTGTTGTAGTTAACATGTAGTACTAGTGTTGTAGTGAACATGGTCATAAAAGTTAACATTTCTTGTATAACATATCGTTAAGGTTCAGTTAAAGATAATGTTGTGTTCCCTGCAGGACCCAGAGAACATGTGGGCCTACGAGGTAGACGCCAGGTCGACAGGGGACAAAAAGTCTGCCCGGGAGGAGCGTCGAGGAGACGTAGTGGTGGGCCAGTACAGCGCCATGGACCCTGATGGTTCTCTCTGCGTCGTCGACTCCTCTGTAGCTCCCGACACTGACTTCCAGGCCACTGTTACCAAGCAATCCACCCATGAAAACTTCCAGAGCCAAAGCCAATAGCACCAGCAAAGGCGCAACCAGTTCCAGAACCAACTGTCTACCCGCGACCCGTTCCAGAACCAACTGTCTACTCGCGACCAGTTCCAGAACCAACAAAGCCGCCCCGACCAGTTCCAGAGCCAACAGAGCCGCCCCGACCAGTTCCAGAACCAACTGTCTACTAGCGACCAGTTCCAGAACCAACAAAGCCGCCGCGACCAGTTCCAGAACCAACAAAGCCGCCCCGACCAGTTCCAGAGCCAACAGAACCGCCCCGACCAGTTCCAGAACCAACTGTCTACCCGCGACCAGTTCCAAAACCAACAAAGCCGCGGCGACCAGTTCCAGAACCAACAGAACCTCCCCCACCAGTTCCAAAACCAACTGTCTACCCGCAACCAGTTCCAGAATCAAGTGAACCGAGATCAATCTTCTCTGAATATTAGACAGTAGTCACAGAGAGACAACCAGTATCAACAGAAACGCAACCAGTATCAACAAGACCACAACCAGTATCAACACAACCGTAACCAGTACCAGCTGAATCATTACCAACAGAACCGCAACTAGTACCAGGAGAACCGCAACCAGTACCAGTCCAACTATCGCACGAGTACCAACCAATACAACCACAACAACCAGTCCAACAACCTCCACAACAACAGGTACATCTCACAAAGTTACGGCTCCACCAACAACAACCACAACTACAACCAAAACTCACACCTCAACTCCAACCTTTTCAACCTGGAATACAACCAACAACCCTCCCGGTTATCCACCAACAACCACAACCAGTACGGAAGGAGCCAAGTTAGTGTGGTTCCTGCTGGAAATCACAAGTATCGACTACAACAAATGAACCACTGGCAACACTAAATGGTTGTGAGAATGTCTTTACTCTGTATAAACTGTCAATATAATACTATGGTACTGTATTTTTATGTATTTCTCGCTAAACAAAGCAGAATGTATTAATGTTTTTTATCTGATTGACGCTATTGTATGTTTCTGTTGTGTTAATGAATGATGTTAAAGTGTTGGTGAGAGTAAACACTAATATGCAGAATAGGTCAAGTGTTGGTGAAAGTAAACACTAATATACAGAGTACGTCAAGTGTTGCTGAGAGTAAACACTAATATACAGTATACGTCAAGTGTTGGTGACAATAAACACTAATATACAGTATACGTCAAATGTTGGTGACAGTAAACACTAATATGCAGAATAGGTCAAGTGTTGGTGAAAGTAAACACTAATATACAGAGTACGTCAAGTGTTGCTGAGAGTAAACACTAATATACAGTATACGTCAAGTGTTGGTGAAAATAAACACTAATATACAGTATACGTCAAATGTTGGTGACAGTAAACACTAATATACAGTATACGTCAAGTGTTGGTGAGAGTAAACACTAATATACAGTATACGTCAAGTGTTGGTGAGAGTAAACACTAATATACAGTATAGGTCAAGGCATGGTGATATTGGGGACTAGATGGGGTGTATACTCGACTGTTTTTGTAATAGATATGATACCGGTACACATACAGGTTCACATACCGGTACACATACAGGTATACATACAGGTACACATACCGGTACACATATAGGTACACATACAGGTACACATACAGGTACACATACCGGTACACATACAGGTGCACATACATGTACACATATAGGTACACATACCGGTACACATAGAGAGACTTAGGTAACGTAGTACCAAGGTAGATTTATGTGTGTGTGTGTGTGTGTGTGTGTGTGTGTGTGTATGTGTGTGTGATATTAGCTGGTCTTTGCTATCACAACAGTTACGGCTGGAGATGACGGAATTGAAAACATATCTTATCCCGATTCATGATAGCATGTAGATGTGTGTGTGTGTGGGTGTGTGTGTATCTTTCAACTGTACCTGTATCTATCTCTTAACTGTATCTGTCTCTCAACTATACCTGTATCTGTCTCTTAACTCTATCTGTATCTGTCTCTTAACTGTACCTGCATCTGTCTCTTAACTGTACGTGTATCTGTCTCTTAACTGTACCTGTATCTGTCTCTTAACTCTACCTGTATCTGTCTCTCAATTCTACCTGTATCTGTCTCTAAACTGAACCTGTATCTGTCTCTTAACTCTACCTGTATCTGTCTCTCAACGGTACCTGTATCTGTCTATTAACTCTACCTGCATCAGTCTCTTAACTGTACCTGTATCTGTCTCTTAACTGTACCTGTATCTGTCTGTGCTGTACACCTGTATGTCTGTGTCTGCTTTCTTTTATATCTGTCTCTTGCTATGCCTGTATCTGTGTGCTGTATACCATCTGTCTCTTAACACCAGCGCACTGTATATTCTCTTAACTGTACCTGTATCTGTCTCTTAACTGTACCTGTATCTGTCTCTTAACTGTACCTGTATCTGTCTCTTAACTGTACCTGTATCTGTCTCTTAACTGTACCTGTATCTGTCTCTTAGCTGTACCTGCATCTGTCTCTTAACTGTACCTGTATCTGTCTCTTAACTGTACCTGTATCTGTCTCTTAACTGTACCTGTATCTGTCTCTTAACTGTGCCTGTATCTGTCTCTTAACTGTACCTGTATCTGTCTCTTAACTGTACCTGTATCTGTCTCTTAACTGTACCTGTATGTGTCTCTTAACTGTGCCTGTATCTGTCTCTTAACTGTACCTGTATCTACTACCTTATGTATTACTTGTACCAATACCTATAGTTACTATATGTGCTGTTCACTATATAACCCTGAATTCACTTGCCATATATTTCTCCTCTATCTACTTTGTTAGGCTTTATATAAGTTATTTCAAACAAACTTAAAAACATTTTATCCACGTACTAAAAAAAACATACAATCTTCTTTTTTTTCCAATAATATTTCATCGAGAAGGTGAAGATCAGGCCCTTGAATAAGCCGTCTAACCGTAATCCCACAACCTACGATGAATTTTATTACATTAAGGGCAAATGCTGGGTCATTGTGCCGTCCTTCGATCTCCGCAAGGAGGCTCACGTGACATGAATTTCACCTTGGGGCAAACAGCTCTTCCTTGGGGAGGGTAAGGAAGACTCTGCATAAGCAACTGTCACCTTGGGCGATACAAGCTTTTCCTTGCGAGGGGATGTAAGGAGGACTCTGCATGACAGCAGATGTCACCTTAGGGGCGACACAGCTCTTCCCTTGGGAGGGGATGTAAGGAGGACTCTGCATGACAGCAGATGTCACCTTAGGGGCGACACAGCTTTTCCCTTGCGAGGGGATGTAAGGAGGACTCTGCATGACAGAAGATGTCACCTTAGGGGCGACACAGCTCTTCCCTTGCGAGGGGATGTAAGGAGGACTCTGCATGACAGCAGATGTCACCTTAGGGGCGACACAGCTCTTCCCTTAGGAGGGGATGTAAGGAGGACTCTGCATGACAGCAGATGTCACCTTAGGGGCGACACAGCTTTTCCCTTGCGAGGGGATGTAAGGAGGACTCTGCATGACAGCAGATGTCACCTTAGGGGCGACACAGCTTTTCCCTTGCGAGGGGATGTAAGGAGGATTCTGCATGACAGTCTTCCTTTCAGTGACAGTTGGGAAAGAAAGCTGCTGGAGGGAAGACTCTAAACGTCTAATAACTTCACAGAGATCAGGCCGATCTACTGGGTTCTGCTGTAGCATATCTAAGAATAATTGTCTGGTGCCGGGCGGCCACGCCTTTAGGTGTCGGTCACTCAATAATGTCTCAGTAACAAAATTAAGGGTGAACCCCAAAGAGAAAACATCAGCCTTGGGGTGACATGGGTGACCAGCAAGGATCTCTGGGGCATAAAAGGGAAAATCACTTGGTGATCCAGAGATATTTGTCAACTCTCCCACGGCTGTAGAAAGCCCAAAATCGATGATGTGGGCCGTGAAGATACCATCGGCTGTGTTCTCTTCTATTAACACATTATCTTCCTTAAAATCGTTATGGACAACGCCCTGACCGTGAATTTCGTCAAGGCTTCGCGCCACGGCGATGTAGATTTGAATAATGTTGGCCGCGGTAAGCAACTTAGGGTGATTGAGTATATCAATGAACGTCCTTCCCTTGCAAAACGACATAACAAGTATGGGCTCATCCGTGGCCCACGTTATGATGAGGGGAGCACCGCCGGCACCGTTTACTTTTTGGGTTATCTCCCTTTCTATGTTGAAATACTTCAGATATTCCGTTTTCAAGCCTTTTTTTATGCACACGAGTTCCCCATTGAATTCGGCCAGGAGGCTGAACGCAAATGCCCCGCTACCCAATTTTTTCTGGATTTTTACAACGCTTAAGAGTTGTTTGCTTGTATAACTTTCCATCTTGTTTTAACCAAACGTAAAATTTTATGAAGTACAATTTCAATAACTTTATCGTATAATAT